TACTTAATTAGTTATAGTACTATACGTAACGTATTACTACTACACACACACACACACACACACACACACACACACACACACACACACACACACACACACACACACACACACACACCGGGCTGCTGCTCCATTCATCACTGTGATGAAGTGCTGGGATCACACCACAGCCAATCCGTCCTCCATCAGAGTGACAGCCAGGCGGTCGTAGAGACGTCCCTCTGCGGCCGGGCGGGAACGCAACGAGTCGCAACGCATCGCAACACACTCTTACATGTCACTCTGCCACTCCATCAATCCTTCACCGACTGGAGAGAGAGAGAGAGAGAGAAAGCTCTTCAGAGCAGACGCGGCCACACAAACACCTTCAGCTGCTCCTCAGTGGCAGAACGGGATGTTAACACTGTTATTGTAAGGGAGGGGGGGTATTCCCAGTATCCCCAGTATACTCCCAGTATCCCCCAACATTACACAGCTTTGGGAGTGCACCGCTTGCTAGTTAAGAGTAAGAAACCCTGGGTACTTCATCCTAAGCTTTTAAAGGGGGCATTCCACATTTATTTTACACCCGGATTAACACTTCTTCTCTGTACCGGCGACGCAGTCGAAAGCAAAAACATAAATGGATAAATGACGGCAATGACTATAGTTTACTTTCATATCAAAAGATTCATGCCAATTTAAAGTGGTAGGATAACTATTCTGGATAACTAAACCATGATAAAAGTGTATTCCCAGTATACTCCCAGTATCCCCAGTATCCCCAGGCTAAACAAGTATCTAGTTCCTTTAAAGCGGCCCTAAGGTTGTCCCTTTCCTATAATATGTGTTGTGCATGTACATGGTCATCAAAGGCTAAGATCCCCGTCTCCCCTTCAGAGTTTTCTCTCCCACACACAGTCTTTGTTTGACATGTACCACTCGTGCGTCTATTGGCTAGCGCTCCAACACATTGTACATGACAGACAAAGAGGCAGGACGTCTCTAAGTGGTTGACCAATCACAACAGAGCCGGCCAGCTAAGCAATCAGAGCAGACTGGGCTCTGGTTTCAGACAGAGGGTGAAAAGCGGTGCTGCAGCACAGGCAGTATGAGAAAAATAAAGAGCTTTTTGAACATTAGAGCATGGAGACATGTCCCAGTAGAGACACTACATACTGATATACACCTGAACATCAGCAGGAGAGGACTCTTTAAAGTAGAGACACTACATACTGATATACACCTGAACATCAGCAGGAGAGGACTCTTTAAAGTAGAGACACTACATACTGATATACACCTGAACATCAGCAGGAGAGGACTCTTTAAAGGAGAGACTCTACATACTGATATACACCTGAACATCAGCAGGAGAGGACTCTTTAAAGTAGAGACACTACATACTGATATACACCTGAACATCAGCAGGAGAGGACTCTTTAAAGTAGAGACACTACATACTGATATA